GACCTGTGAATTCCTGTAATGTGAGAAGATGGAGCTTTACAAATGGTTTACAAATGTAGTGGGATTTTTATATATAGTCAGTTTAACTACTAATGAAGAATGAATATATAAATTAATCCTTGGGTTTGATTTCGCTGTTTCCTAATTTGCAGCCTATGATGTTTTTTCAACCCTTATACATTTCATAGGTCCTTGAAACACTGGGTAGGCCTCAGGCTCTGAGCCTTAGCATTTAAAAAAATGAAAGGCATGCATGCTTTCCCTAAGGAAAATCCCAACTCCACTGTGTTGCTTTGCAGAATTCATTTTCCTTGGTTTTCGAAGTGGACTCTCACCAGAAGCTGGGGAGGTGGCCGCAGACGTAGAATTAATCCGCTTGTCTAGGGGACTGACCCAGAACTGAGAGGCCAAGAGCAGCATCCTGGGCCCCGTGCTGCCCCAGAGCTCGGCCGCCCACCTGACTGGCTCTCTGTGAGGTCAGAAGACCCAACTGGGGAAGTAGACTGAGTGGGTGTTGATGCGTTAATGTGCAGCCTTCCCTGGAATGGTTGGGTTTTTCCAGAAGCCTCGTGGACACTTGGTATGTGACCCCACCCAGATGGAGCAGGGGTCCCCTACTTCCCCATGCTGAGATGGAGCCAGCTGACCTGGGATAGAGGGTGGCTCCCTTCTGGGCACATGCTCCACCCAGTTCACCACCCCACACCCCAGCTCCGTGCTCGAACCTAACCTGAAGAGGAGTTACCAGGGACACGACCAAGATGGCCAGACAGCGGCACAAGGTGCCCTGGCTACGCAGTTCAGTGGGGCCTTGGGGACTCTGAGGTTGGGATGACATTCTGGCTTAGATAAAAATGCCTTTACCCAGTGCCTAGTCAGCCCGGGCCCTGAGGCGAGGGCTTCACAGCTCATTCAATTCTCACACAAACCTCACTCAGGCTACTATCCTTACCTGCCTTTTACAGGTGAAGGCACAGCACCTTGCCCAAGGTCACTCAGGTAGAAGGTGGCGGGGCTGAGACTGAACCCTGGCAACCTGACTCCAGAGCCTGGGGAGCGTCTACTGTAATAAAAGGTAAAGAGGAATGTGGCCCTTGGGGACAGGACAGTAATGAGAGGGAGAATTCAGTTTTTGATTTTCAAGTGGAAATTGTATAGAGTGGGCCACCTGTGTGGGACACTTGTACAGTGTTTGAGAGGAAGGTTTTGTAAAAGAGTCTTCACCCAAGTGTGAGAGGGCTAAGGGGAACCCAGGAGAGAGGGTGCAGGGCTCTGGGCCAGCCGTGGGGGGGGGGGCTTTATGACCGTAGGCCTGAAAGGGTAGGGGGAGCAGTCACTGGGGTTCAGAGATGGCTGGAGCTGGGAGAGGACCCCTGGCAGGAGCTGAGGATTTGGTAGAGAGGTAGACACCCCCGCCCCCCCCGCCGGATCCCCACAGGGAGGCAGCTGGGGGAAGAACTCAGACTCCTCTCATTTGCCTCCCACCCTCTGAGCTTCTGCCAGGGCCTCCTGTTGGCCAAGCACAGCCCGAAGCCTCTGGATGCAGAGGTCAGCTGCCTCAGGCGGGGGCAGGGTGGAGCAAGGAGAGGAATGCTTCGGGCAAAGAAGTGGAAAATATTCAGCACACAATCATCTGTGTGAAAGCAGGTGGGGAGATCCGTATCTGTATCTCTACATATTCATACGCTTGCTTATAGATGGGCAAGTTATTTCTGGAATGATATGCACACAAAAACTGGTAGAAACTTCTGAGAAGTGTCCTACTTTCCATTGTGTAACTTTATCTACTGTTTGATCTTTACCGCCTGCATTTATTATATATACAATCCATCCATCCAATAGGGACATACATCTAATCTAAGCTAGACAATCATGAAGCCCCCCTTCCTGGCCACAGTGATTTATCCAAGGGTTGGCACGTGACCCACACTCAGCCAATGAGAGCCTTGCCTGAGCTTGTCAGCCTGGAGCTGGGAGGAAGAGAGGTCCTTTCCTGTGGTTGAGGATCCAGGATGTGGGTCTAGAGATGTACCTGATAATAGTAGCTAACAATTGTTTGATACTTACATTCCACTGAAACACGTAAGTTAGTGACAGTCTCCGTTTTTCATCCCCCAAAGGAAATTTCATCTAGTTCAACCTATACAGGGCAGACTCGCAAGGGGAGGGGTTTGTACAGGGCGTGTTCACCAGCAGGGTGGGAATTTGGGGGCTGTCTTGGAATTCTGCCTACTTTATAGCAACCCCATAAAGCAGGTATTATTGTTATTAACCCCAGACTATAAATGTGACAACTGAGGGAGAGGGAGGTTAAGTGACTTGTCCAATAGTGCACAGTGGCTTCAGAGGCCCCCAGTGTGCACCTGAGTTCCCCTCTGCCGTGTGCCCTGGTGTGGAGGAGCCTCACTACACTGGGGTTGGGGGGCATGCAGAGGAGAGGCGGAGAAGCAGGGACCTGAGGGTTAGTGGTCCTAAAGGCAGTACCACCTCAGCTAGGCTCTCTAGTTCTACTTAGCAGCCAAGGCCTCTGCCATGCTTTTGCAAGGTCAAGGAGAATATCGGGTCTTTGCCCTGATGTAACTGGATTTCTACATCAATTCTTTCCCATGTGTAATTAATTGAATAGTGGCCCTTCAAAAGGTATGTCCAAGTCTTCACCTTGAACCTAGGAATGTGGCTTTGTTTGGAAAAAAAAGCCCTTTGCATATGTAATTAAGAATCTTGAGATGGAATCATCTTGGATTCAGGGTGGGCCCTAAATCCAATGGCTGGTATCCTTACAAGAGAAAGACAAAGGGAGATTTGAGATGTAGACATAAACACAGGGGAGAAGGCCATATGAAGATGGAGGTGGAGTGTGGAGTGATGCTGTCACAAGCCAAGGAACCTGGGCAGCCACTAGGAACTGGAAGAGGCAAGGATGGATCCTCCACTAGATCCTAATACCAGAATTGTGAGAGAGTAAATAGCTGTTTTAAGTCACCCAGTTTGTGGTAATTTGTTATAGCATCTCTCAGAGACTAATATACCCCCTTTCCTCTTTTCTTGCAAACTGAGTACAAAGGGGCATAAAAAATGGAGTAGAGCTCTGGTTTGATCCAAAACAAGATATAGCTTTGATTTTCTGTTGATCCCAAAGATGAAAACCCTTTGAGGATTCCAGAGGTGAGGAAGGAGGGTTTGTGGCTGTTGGAAGTTGAGGGGCAGCAAGGGAATCTTGGCTCATTTAGAAGATGAGAGAGATTTCTAGAATGAGAAGAAGATAGACTGGCTCTCAATACATTTTCTAATTCCCACAGACTTTCTGAGTTTCTATGGCAGGCAGAATTCTGAGACGGCTTCCAAGAGTCTGCCCCTGCTATAGACACCCTGTAGAATCTCCTGTCCTCGAGTGTGGGTAGACCTGTGAATATAATGGGATCGTTACACCTGTGACTGTGTACATTATATAAGTTCCAGCAGTGGCAGACTAGAGAGAGACTTTTCTGCTGGCTTTGAAGGACCCAGCTGTCATCGTGAGAGTCCAAGTGTCAGGACCTGTGGGTGGCCTCTGCGAGTTGAGAGCCACCTTCAGCTCACAGCCAGCAAAGAAATAGGAACCTCAGCACTATGACTGCGAGGAACTGAATCCTGCCAACAACCTGGCTGATTTGGAAGTGAACCCTGAGTGTCAGACGAGCTCGCAGCCTCAGCTCACACCTTGATGTGGTGTCTGCCACGTGGGCAGAGGACTCAGCTTGGCCTCCCGACCACAGAAACATTTGAGATAATGTTTTCATCCACCAAGTTTGTGGTGATGTGGTATGTGACAGTTGCTGACCAAAGGTTCTCCCATATTGTAAATGAACAGAGACCACTGAGCTTGAGTCTTGATTTTATGTTTTTATGACCCAATAATAAAAATGTATGTATAATTCTGAGTTGTATTTTTAGGTGAATCACGCATTAGTTCAAAAAAATTTTTGAAAGTCTCTAAAGAAAATAGAGAAGCCTGGCTGGAGTGGCTCAGTGGTTGAGTGTCAACCTATGAACCAGGAGGTTGAGGTTCAATTCTCGGTCAGGGCACATGCCTGGGGTTGCGGGCTCAATCTCAGGTAGGGGTGTGTGCAGGAGGCAGCCAATCAATGATCCTCTCTCATCATTGATGTTTCTATATCTCTCTCCATTCCTCTCTGAAATCAATAAATGTATTTTTTTAAAATATATTTTATTGATTTTTTACAGGGCACATTGGGGTTGCGGGCTCAATCTCAGGTAGGGGTGTGTGCAGGAGGCAGCCAATCAATGATCCTCTCTCATCATTGATGTTTCTTCTTCTCTCTCCATTCCTCTCTGAAATCAATAAATGTATTTTTTTAAAATATATTTTATTGATTTTTTACAGAGAGGAAGGGAGAAAGAGAGGAATAGAGAGGTAGAAACATTGATGAGAGAGAAACATCGATTCAGCTGCCTCCTGCACACTCCCCACTGGGGATGTGCCCGCAACCAAGGTACATGCCCTTGACAGGAATCAGAAAATAGAGAAAAGATGAGCAAAAGTTAATCATTGTGCATAGATAAATGTGTCCTAAATGTCCTTGGTAACTGGCTGCTCATTGTTCTTTGTGTGGCAGCAGCTTTCCCCATAAACCCTCTGTGGTTGCACAAAGAGGGCCTCCAGTGTGATGTCTCTCCACAAACAGCTTTCCTGCCACCCCACGGGCAGATTCCCAGCAAGCCCTGCTGGCACGGCACCACAGCCACACAGCCACTCCCCTGCCATCCCATTGACCACAGTCACCCCCCCGCCCCCACCAGTGAGATCTGGATCTCAGCTCTGGGACGCACCATCCCAGTCCTTGGGAGTCATGGCCGCTCCTGTATCTATCAGATGTTCTTTAGAGTTCTCTTTACTTCTTACCAGCCCACTCCTCGCTCCCCAGTCCTGTTAGTTACTGATTCCTACTTTAAACTTCCTCTGTGTGACGTCCTGTGTGGTTTCTCTCTCTGACCGAACCCAGACTGAAGCACTGTTCCCAGCAGCATGTGGGCTCCAAGTGCTGAGCACTGAGTGGATAGCTGCAGAGACCTGAGGTGACACAGCCTGTCTCCAAAGGGAAACATGGTGGCCACGTGGAGTGGACAGAGCACAGGACTCTGAGGTGAGAGGCTGTTTCCAGACCTGGTTCTGCAGACGACTGTGGGATTGGGGGGATCGCCCAGCAACTCAGTTTCCTCATCTGTGACATGAAGATAATGGACTGTATGGCCTTGTGTGTGTTAGGGTCCAAGCTAAGCTTCTGTGACAAAGTGACTTAAAGAACACAGCTGTTTAGTCTTTCTCAAGTGTCTTTTCATGAGGGGTCCAAGGTGACAGGCTGCTCTGTTCCACATGGTCATTCAGGGACCCAGGTTCTGTCCATCTTGTTGCTTTGCTATCACTTAGGGTATCTCCCTCATCCACGTGCAGTTCAGGGGAAGATGGAGGCGTGGAAGAGCATGAGCTCAATGCCTTAAGGCTCAGACTGAGAAGGGGTGCCTGCCACCTGCATTTGCATTCCAGCAGGAGCACTTAGTCACAGGACCATGCCACACTGCACAGGAGGTTGGGATATGGAGTCATGCCCAGCACAATCGATGGCATGGAAGAAGTGAGAGGATGGAGGGGGATAATGATCAATGCCAATTGTGCCTGCGCCAGCGCTACCAGACGCCCCCACACATCACCCCAGCCACCAGCAGTTAAAGGAGGAAAATATCCTAGTCCACATGGAAAATCCTGGCCTCATTGTTCTGCTTTTGCTTTTAGAGTCAAGATTCTTAGCACTTGCAGAAATGTCTTTAATGCTGAAAAGTGAAGAAGGAGGTGGCAGGTGTGACTAACAACACAGTCCTCGTGCATCTGCTAGGGAATACATTTTTCCCCCTCCAACGTAACAAATTAGAACCCATCTGGGATTTGAGAAGTCTGAGCTAAGGTTTCCTGGATCTGTTTGCCTATGAAGCAATAATGAAAAGTGAAGGAGATGAAGAAAAGTGAAAAAAATGATGAGTTTAAAGAACCTTGTGTGACAAGTGGAACAAAGGCTTGTGAATTCTTATACATTTTTTTCTGGCATAAGACGGTGCTGTTTAAGGATATGGGGAGACTGAGGATTAAAATAAAGACCTGAAAATAATTGGACTCATTGATAGAGCTTCCATGTGCCAGATACTATTCTAAAACATTCAAAATGATAATTCCTCTAATCCCCACAAAAATATTTTGAAATAAAGACTATAATACCCATCTTAGAGATGTGGAAATGGAGTTAGAAGGAGGAAAAATAACTTACCCCAAATCTCACAGCTAGTGGATCTAGGATTTGAAGTCGGGTAATTTGGCTCCAGAGCCTGTGTCGGGGCCACCAACCTTTTTCAGTAAATCATCAGCCAGTAAGTCTTGTAGGCTCCGTGGGTAGTGCTGTCTCTGTCACAGCTGGTCAACCTGTTGTTAGGTGAATTCAGGCAGCTGCAGACGATGCGAAAACGAATGGGCTGCCAGTAGTTTCCTTGGCTTGTGGCTGCATCACTTCCATCTCGGTCCCTCTTCACATGGCCTTTTCTCTCCTCTGTGTGTATTGGTGTGTCCTCTCCTCTTCTTACAAGGACACCAGTCATTGGGTTTGGGGCCCACCCTACTCCAGGATGACCTCACCTTAACTAATTATATCTGCGAAGACCCTATTTCCAAATAAGGTCACATCCAGCAGTTTTGGATAAATGTGCATTTGGGGTGATGGGACACTATTCAATTCACTATATCTCTCAACTCAAATATTACTAGGTTTTCCTGCTTTAAAAAGTATTAATTGTCTCCCTGGCTAGCGTGACTTAGTTGCACTGAGAGGTCTCCAGTAGGAGGCAGCTGATGATGGTTCTCTATCATCAATGTTTCTCTCTCTCTCTCCCTCTTCCTTCTTCTCTCTCTCAAATCATTAAAAGCATATTTTTTTAAAAAAGTTATTGATTGGGAAAAATAAGAACAGTTTTTCTACTTATTTCATGAGCGAGAAAAGATGGTAAAATGACATATTCAATTTTGTAAAGACAACACAGTGCATATTAAAAATACGTGATATTTATATTTATAATAATATTAGCCACTTCCTGTCCTCACAGAGGCATTAAGAAGATTAATGCCTTGGAAATCTTATATATTTTAGTAGAGCATTATTATTGTCATTATTATGCTTATCCTGGCGTTTCTATTTTGAGGTGGCTGCTATACTTATAGTAACTTGTATGGATATATTAGATTTCCCAGATGATTAAGCTATAAATTACTCAGAGTGTGCAAAGGTTTTTCAAGTCCCAGGAGTGTGTGTGTGTGTGTGTGTGTGTGTGTGTGTGTGTATGTGTTACACTTATGATTCCCATGTTCGTGGAGAAATGGAGACCTAGAGAATTCAGACTTGCCCATGTTCCTCCAGTGAGCCAGGGCTAGGAAAGTCTGGAGCCCAGAACCCCGGTTGTGCAGGCGATCCTATTTCAACTATTTTTTTTTTCAATTCAACAAGTATATACAGTAGTTTTATCCCCAGTTTCACTTTTGTGGTTTCAGTTACCCACAGTCAACTGTGGTACAAAAATATTAAATGGAAAATTACAGAAATAAACAACTTATAAATTACAGAATAAACAACTTGCAAGTTTTAAATTGGGTCTCATTCTGAATAGTGTGATGAAATCTCACACTGTTTCTCACTATCCTATCCTCTTTGGGATGTGAATCATCTCTTTGTCCATGCTGAACGTACAGTACATTAGAATGTTTTGAGAGAGAGAGAAACCACATTCACACAACTTTTATTAAAGTATCTGTATATATAAAAGCCTAAGCGACCATTATGACCGAATGACCAGAACGACCAGTCGACCCGTCAGCAGATGAGTGGATTAAAAAACAGGAGTACAGTGAGGGTTCGTGCTCAGCTGACATGCCCCACATTTTCAGTGAGTGACCTACTAATGAGCACTTGGTCAAGTTCACTTGGCAGAGGTGCAAAGGCAGGGAGGAGACTAGAGCCAACACCCACACGTTCCTCTCTGGAAGTGGAAAGAGCACAGGATGTGTGGAGGTGGGGCCCTTCCTCCCTGGCTCCCCAGGGAGAGCAGCAGACCACAAAGGCCAGAAGCACTGGGACTTGTGTGGAGGCTGCTAGGGGACGGCCTTGCTGACTCAGGGCCGCTCTGTCCCCATTTCTCCTTGTGGATATTTCCTGGGGGTGGCAGGAGGGAAGGCCTCTCCCCTGAGCCGCTGCCTGCACGGTCTCCTCCCATTGAATGCATGAAGTGATATGATTTGATTTTGCAGTTTAAAGGTAGAAAATGTCAATTACTTTTTAACTTGAAAAGTATTTTAAAATTTGCTTATTGACTTTATTGGGGTGACATTGGTTAGTAAAATTACATAGGTTTCAGGTGTACAATTCTATAATACACTATCTGAATATTGTGTGTTCACTACCCCAAGGCAAGTCTCCTTCCATCACCATTTATCCCCCCTTTACTCCCTTTTACCTCCCCTACTCCCTTTCCCTCTGGTAAAAGGGCTGAAATGGTAAATTTTATGTTATGTGTATTTTACCACAATTAAAACTAAAAACAAAACAAAACAAAACACATCTGTAAAAGACAGACTTTTTCTAATGCTTGTTATTCTCATCTGTTATCTGGTAATCACCATACTGTTGTCTGTGTCTAGGAGTTTTTTCTTTGCTTAATCACCCCCCTCCCCTCTAACAGCTGTCAGTCTGTTCTCTGGATTTATGAGTCTGTTTCTATTTTGTTCGCTAGTTTATTTTGTTCACTAGATTCCACATATAAGTGAAATCATATGGTACTTGTCTTTCTCTGACTGGCTTATTTCACTTAGCATAATATTCCCCAGATCCATTCATGTCCTTGCAAAAGGTAAAAGTTCTTTTTTTTTTTATACAGCTGAGTAATATTCCATTGCATAAATGTAAATGTCAACTTTTGAAGAGAGCTTGAAGGAAAAAAAGAATCCATACTTGAGTATGGGAGGTGCCCAAACAGGAACTTTTTAGCTTCCAGAAGAGCAGATAAATGCACAAATAGACCATAAACCAATGTGGCTATTCTGCTGGGAGTTTTCTTTCAATTGTCCCTGGGAGCTACAAAACCCACAGATACAGATAGATTTTTTTATTCATTCAAAAAACATTTCTTAGACCCCATCTGCATGCAAGGGGGTTGGTGCAGCAGCCAGATTTTGGAGAGGCTGGAGGCCGCTTGCGTCACGCTCCTGGGTATGGAGACAAGACCACTGGAGAGCCCCACTTTCAGTTCTGGGAAACTCCCGAGGTCCCCTGGGACTCACAGCCTCCAGCGGCCCGTTTTGGTTGCTGAATTAATCTACGCTTCGGGACTCCTGGCCTCCAGTCTGTAAATGAATAAATTCCTGCTGTCTGAAGCCCCCCAGCCTGTGGTGATGTGCTAGGGCGGCCCTGGGAGACTAATACAGGCAAGCGGACAAAAGTGTGGATCGTGGGCGAGGATCCGGGGAGAGGGGAAGGCGTGAAGAAAGGGAGGGAGGTAGTCAGGGCCTCTGTTGCAGGGTCAGGAATCCTGGCCTAGCCGGTTGTTCAAAACAGGGAATTTGTTGGCTCCGGTACCTGATCTGGCCAGCGGGTGACAGCTTCAGAAGCGGCTGGAGCTGGCCATTTTGGAAAAGTCATCTAGAACCTTCCTTTCTCCATCTCTTAGCTCAACTGGAGGGTCTGGTGAGCTCAGGAGCCTCTCTGTAGCCTGGCTTTGGGGACCTGCCCTCCAGGGCTATCACAGCAGGTGGGAGGTGGGAGGCGGGAGGCGGGGCCTTTCGAGTGGCCAGACGTGGGTCCCACTCACACCCTTGGATGGACACAGGGACAGAGGCCTCCCCAAGGGAAGTTAGGATGCTGTTACTAAGAGAGCATATAGGGATAAGGGCAGGCAAAAATGCCACAAGCATGTGACCAGGAGGTTCACATCTCTGCCGCCTGCCCCTCCCGATGGCAGCCCCTTGCCTCCCAGAATGACAGCACTAGTGTCGTTTTCAGTGCTCAGGGTGGTGACATTCAGCAGAATGGCCCAGCTGTGTAAAGCAACGTTCTAGGTGTGCTGTCTGCTGCTGACCTCGGGGTCCACCGAGAGGGACCCCGCCCTGCCCAGTGCCCTGACTCAGGGGTCCCGGGGTGACAATTCAGTGACCCACCTGGCCTCTCCGAGAGCAAATCCAGATGGTAGCAGTGACTACTCACATGGAAATGCTTACTAAGTGGATCTGTCTGGGGGATACAGTCGTCAGAGCAAAAGGATATTGTGCAGAAGAAAACACATCTTTTCACCTTTCCAGGGAAGATCTTACGCAGGGGCCAGGAGGGCATCCTGAGCTGATTCCCGTGGACACTGCAGCTGCTGAGCTTCTGCCACAGAGTCTTAGCCTGGCGGTCGCGGGGATAGACCAGGATTACGTCTAGAGGATCAGGGCATCAGCGCCCCAGGCCACCTGGCTGGAAATAGGCTCTAAATAGGGATCACGGGGCGGGGATGGACAAATAGAGTGTGGGGGTGCTTTTTTCTACTTGGGGGGGCATCTCAGCAGATCTCAGCTGCCAAACAGGCAGCCCCCAGCATTTCCTGCAGCAGAGACAGGTGCCCATGGTGTCTAGTAACCTCCTCTGCTGAGAGACAGGAACAGGCGTGAAGAAATAACAGGAGAGGTGAGAAAAAGGAAGAGGAATTGTGGGGAAGAGAGAAAATGTAAATAATCAAGACAATCCCGAGAGGCTTACAATGGATGCCAGACACCATCCTGAGGCTTCATGGGCACATGCTGACGAGCCCAAGATGTGGAGCTGGGAGCTCCCCTATTTATAGATGTGGAGACTGAGGCACAGAGACATTTAGAGCCTGAGAGTATTCATGAATGTTCACTGAAACACAGTGTGTTCACAGATACGGAGTTCAAAAGCCACACATGGAGTTCAGACATTCCATCCACAATATCTGCTAAGCATGTTCTGCGATTACAAAGTCCATTGGCTCCCAGGGCTACAAGGCCCAGTGTCCCTCTGGGATGCTCACAGCCTAGGGAGGGGAAACACAGGTGCAAATTACTGCGATGCTGCTTTCCAGGTGCAGACA